ACTGAGCTCTTCTGCCTGATTTTTAATATTTTACTTAACTATGCAGTCCTTTTAGAATAAAAAATCCTCTGTCGTTCTGGACTGTTCCTAATTTAAATAATGCCATATGTCTAGTTCCTTATGCTAAACTGCTTCACGCTTTAACCAGTCCGGTAATACCAGCACCATCACTCTCTTATTTCAGTGACTATGCTGCTTTTAACTGTTCCAGCCTCAGTATTGCAATTATTTCACTCTAGCTTCATGAATGTTGTACAGGACGTACGCATAAAATATTTTCTATAATTACATATATAAGATAACGTATGAACATATGAATGTTTTCTACATTTTAGGAAGAATATTGCTGCAGTATTGCACTGACCAGTTATAAGTGCCTCCTACATCTCTTACCAATTATATTGAATGCCAGGTTCTCCAATTTTAGAAAGTAGTTGTGCTATATTACATGGTATCATATTACAGCACAGTGTCTTAGTCATAAATAGCAAAACATACATTTTAATAAGGTGCCCTGAGAGGAGAACACCTGTGGATGTGTCAGTAACTACCACATTAACATGTCATATGGCGATCTCCTTCACATCTTAGCAAGGGCCTGATGATACAGAAGCCCGTCTTTCTCCTGGCTCTCTGCAGCGAGGAAGACTTCTCCACAGCACTGCACCACAGCAGTGTGCACGCCCACCTCTCAGTTACTGTTACTACTTGCTTAATTGTCTCCCTGTTTATTGAGTGTCTGCTCTGAGACATCTCTCAGAGATGGGCATATAGTGATGGAAAAAAAAAAAAAGGACATATCACCCCTGCCTTCTCCCCGCCTGCTCAATGTCTATATTGTCCTGCAAAGAGAAGAAAAAGAAACGAATTCACTGGTAATAACTACGATGGAGATGTATCAGGCAGAGAAGATGGTAGGGTGAGAGGGTACAGAAGTCATAATTGTAAACAGAGGACAGGAAGACTTGCAGCTCTTTTTTTTTTTTAAAGATTTATTTATTCATACAGAACTGGGGTACAGGCCAGAGGCTCAGGGGCGGTGAGAGGCTTCACCAGAGACAGAGTGGGGAGCAGAACAGGCAGATCGACGAAGTACACTGCTGAGGGGAGCAGCGGGCGGGTCAGGAGAGGTCTGGCTCGCCATGTGGTCTCCTCCGGGGCAGGCGGCAGGCGGGAATCGAACTCATGCGGAAGTGGCTTCAGATTCTCAGTGCTGCGCTTTAACCCGCTGCGCCACCAGGGAGGGCCGACTTGCAGCTCTTGGGGGAAAGAATGCCCCTGGAAAGGGTACCTGCCTAGCATATTTGAGGAACGGGGGACAGGTGGCTTGAGCAGAGGGGAGGGATCATACAGTGTGGTCAGAGACATGGTGGGAGGAGAGGAGGTTTCTGTAGGACACGGCAGGCCACAGCAAAGAAAACTCATTTATGCCTTTCCCAAAAGCATTTAAAAACAACAAATGTTCTCATTTTTGTTCCGCTGCCTAGCACGTTATTCAAATGCTGTTTTTCTAGCACTCCACAGTGTGTGCTTTACAATGGTGGCGGTGAGGTTATGATAAATATATAAGTGTATAATATATAAAGTTGGGCTCCCCTCCTGCCTTCACAGCAGCTTTGCTATTGCTGGTGTCAGGTCATTTTATGCTGTAGCATATCTTACTATTTTCATTTTTCTAAATTGGCCAGGACTAGCTAATATTTTACCAAGAATAACTCTGGTGTTTCTTTTCTCCATATATTTATACCATGACCTCCCACATTCAGATAACTTTTATCACTGAAATATGTATCAGGAGGGAGTGAGGGTGGCCCAAGTTTTCAGGAGAATGAAGAAAATTTGAAATATTTGGGGGGGGGTTGCAGGATAGAAGCTGACTCAGGAAAGAACATGTTTCTGGACTGGGTGGATGGCCCAGCTGTGACCAAACACTAAGATGTTTATGGACTGCCTTTGGTGCACAGCAGCCCAGGTAACCACAGACGGCCATTGTGGATTGTAGATTTGAAGCTAGATGGGAGAAGGGAAGCCAGGGTGGGGATAAAGGGCAAAAGAAAATAGCCTAGAGGGAGGAGGACAGGAATAGTAGCAGCAGCTAGGGAGGGAGCTGGCAGCTTGTACCAGGGAGCAAGGGGTGGAGGCCTGCCGGGTTGGGGAGATGACAGTAATGCCAGCAGGGGAAACACACTTCTCCAGATGGAAAAGTGCAAGGAATTCATTCATTCATTCACACATTCATTTTTTAAATGGATATTTGCTTGGCTTAGGATGCAGGCCTTGGAGCCAAATTATGTGTGTTCAAATTTCGGCTCTGCCACTTTCCAGCCATGTGAACCTGGGAAAGTCACATTCCCGCCTCCTTGTACCTTTGTTTCTTCACCTGCAAAGCAGAGATAGTAATTGCAGTTGTTACCTAGGTTTATTGTGAGGATCACCAGGGTTAATAAGCAAGGGAAAGTCAATTAGCACCAGGTGGAGAGTGAGAGCTCAGAGAACATGTGCTACTAGGTTTCTGATTCCTGCTGGTGGTTTTATTCTATTCCAGGCACTGTTCTGGGAGCTGGAGACAAAGCCACAGACATCATTTGGGAAGTCCTTACCCTGCCCTGGTGGGGCTAGAACACAGGAGGAGATACTGGAAACAATGCTATTCACATCTGGATGCAAATCAAAAAATAAAAGCAGGGCAGTGAGACTGCTGTTAAACAGGCTGCTTTACCAAGGTAGCTCTGAAAAAGTGGTATTTGAGCTGAGCTTGAAAGGTAAGGAGGAAAAGTCCCGTGGAGACCACAGCCAGGAATCTGGAATGTGGAAGCAGGCTGAGAACAGAGAGGAGCGAAAGCCCTGGGGGTTCAGACAAGGCAGGAGGCTGGGGCCCTCCGCCCTCTGTGGTGGCACAACAGGTTTAAGTGCAGCACTGCAAAGCTAGCCGCAGCTACCGCATCAGCAAGAGTTTGATCCCCATCCAGGGAGGTGAGCCACATGGCACAGCAGACCTCTGCTGTCTCACCCACTGCTCCCCTCAGCAGTGTTCTTTGTCAGTCTGCCTGTTCTGCTCCTCACTCTGTCTCTGGTGAATCTTCTCACCACACCTGCACCTCTGGCCTGCACCCCAGTTCTGTATACATAAATGGATCTTTAAAAAAAAAAAAAAACAAAAAAAAAAACAGAAGGCAGGATGACTGGGAGGTGAGTGTGGGACAGCAGGACACAAAAGGTGCATGAGGCAAGGACACAGAGCCCAGGGTTTGATCCTGGGGAGGCCCTTGGGTCAGTGGTTCCAAAACCTGACTTCATATAAGCAGTATGTTGGGCCCCACCCTACCTAGTCAAGAGTTTTGAAGGCTTCCATGTGACTCCAGCACTCAAGAGGGCTTGGGAACCCCACTGTAGGCTGTGATGAGGGTCTGTATAGAGATCCAATCACAGTGGGCAAGGGTATGAGCTGATTATCCGTTTTAGAAAAGACTGCCCTGGCTCCTGGGTAGAATGGGGTTTGCTGGGAGAGAAAACCATTGAGTTGTGAGGCTCTGAACCCAGGGAGAGGTGGTTGTGGCTTGAAAGAAGATGTCAGCAGTGAGTGGATGGTGTGGAGTGCAGGCCTCACCAGCTGTGCCCTGGGTGGAGGGGCAGAGTGCAAACAAGATGGCCCCATGCCTTCAGGGGAGAGTCAGAAGGAATGGACAAGATGTCCATTCTGGGCTGAGAAAGTGATTGGCTATCCAAGCAGATCATCAGCAACCACTGGGCTTGAGTCACTTGGGCAGGTAGCTCTTACGATGCCTGCTGAAGCCAGGAGTCAGTGAGCAACTCAACTACACTCTCTTTAGGCCACAGTGTTCCACAACCAGGCCCTCTACTGCTTAAATCATAAGGGAGGGGATTCATAAATCATGAGCAGTGAAGAGTGACGATGATTATAAATCTTCCTTTATACATTTCTTGCATCATTAGTATTGAATGATAGGTATTATGACAAGATACCCTATTTTTGCCATTCTTAAGAATCATAATAAAGAATGGTTGTTTAGGTAATATCACATTTGTGAAAAATTACAGTGTACTATGATCGCTTGGAGTAAATAGAATGTGTGTTGAAGAACAAATGTATTCATTTATTTATTTGGGGCACGAAAGTGAACTGTGTTAGTGACCAAGATGGTCACAACACTATAATCCCAGTGTTACTAAAGTTTTGACAACTTAGCTTGCTACAGAATTGTTATGTTGTCAATAGCCCTGAAGATGTAGTAATTTAAAGAAGTATGGCATTGCAGTATTGTTATTTCTACAAATATTGGCATCATTTTAGTAGAAGGTAATGCTTTTTCTAAACTACCAACAGCATAATGTGGCTTCTAAAAAATGACTTTTAGATGTACACCCTCTGTGAGGCATTCTTGATTCTACCTGGGCATCCATACTATTCCACTTTATTTGGTGACCACAAGCCAGAGGAATCTGTTCTCTATGATTCAGGAACCAGTGTGTTGAGAATACTTACTGATCTGGGTATTTTCCCCAGTGTTTAAAATCTAATTTCATCTCTTATTTGCAGGGAGCCTGAGCTCAGTGACCAAGCAGTGAACTTGAGTCACTTGCAGTCATTGTTTTTCTCTTCTGTCCAGTCTTCTTGGAATGAATTAGTAGGTATTCCAACACTTGAATATTAGGGAAGCTTGTGTTCTCATTCACATTGAGATTTCTATTGAACTTTAGTTCCACAAAACTCAAGGTTCTGCGTAATAGTTAAGCTGAAATTTTGATTTAGTTCTGTAAATATTGTGATAACTGAGAGTGGAGCATCTAAAACAACTCTTAAATATTTATCTAGACTCTGCTTTAGAGGAAAGTCTCTGCCAATAACCATTCTTTGCTGGTGTCTGCAATGGGTGACTTATTCCTGCACTTTTCCATCTGTGTTATCAACAACGAAGTTATAACAAATCCCAAACAAGGAGATTATGATTTTAATATACTTTATTTAAAAAGTACACAGTTTTAAATTGGTTTCAAGCAGAAGGGCCCCTGCCCACTTGCAGCCCCATTTCTGATGAAGAATGATTATCATGTAGCAAACTCACGTATCTGCATGACTGGCAAAGTAAAAAGATAACTTTTTGTCAACATATTTTTAAGAGTTTCTATCACGCACGGTTTAAAATCATGAGATGCTGATGGTTGGACTATATTTCATGTCTCCTATGTCGCACCATATTTTGGTTCACAGTTTATCCATAATTTAGCATGCCAAGAGAACAGCTGAGTCAGTGTCACCTTGAGAAGAGCATCAAGAGCGGAGGGAACAGGACAGGGACCATCGTGGCCTGGAGACTTGCCGCACCCCCACACTCTCTCGCGTTCTCCTACAGGGAAAGGTAGGGCTGGTTAGGACACCTGTCACCTGCACATTGGCCTTAAGCTTTCTGATTTTTATTGAGTACCCAGGCTTCCCCCACCCCCTCCAAAATATGTAAACAAACTGTTTAGAATCTAGATAATATAGAGAAATGGAGTTGTCTAAACGTCACTGAGTTTATCATAAGAACCTCTGATTTTAGGTGTCAGTGCATAAAATACCCAAATTTATTCTCTGCACACTGTTACATAGAACATTCAAGAGGTAAAGGGGCTGTAGCTAGAGCTATTACTGTGATCAGATTATAAAGCAAACTACTGGACTTCTAATTCCCCCTGCCTTCCAGAACATAAGTGAAAGATCAAATCTAAAGGGCTGGCTCGCTTCAGAGTCTGGACCATACATAGAAAGGTTTGTGAACGTGCCCCTTCATATTTGAGGGGAGCAGTCTCTGTTTTGTAAAAGTAAAATCATATGTGATCCTCTCTGCTGCTTATTTCCTATTAATTGATGGACACTCCTCAAACTCTAATTCTAGCTCCATTTCATTCGGTTATTTCCTTATTGATGAACATTCATCTTTTCACTCTTACTTACTGCTATAAAGAATTCTTGAAAGTAGGTCCTGAGTAGTCAGTGATATTTATCCTGGCCCTTGCCTACAGGAAGATGCCCAGGAGTGAGGGTACAGCTGGAAGGTCTTTGCTTTTGATGGTGAGTTATTTCCCTATTCTTTGATCCCTGATGACATGTTCCTTTCATTTCACTATTGCATCTTTACAGGTAGTTGTTTAGCTTATCAATTTAAAAGCAATCTTTTTATGATTTTACTTATAGTTTCCAAGTTCTATAAATAATCTACTCAGTTTCTTATTTTTCTATGGAAAAGTTATGTTTATATATCTCTCTAAATCTGTCTGTCATAGCTTTCTGGTTCCTGAATAGGACATTCTCTCCAATACCAAGGATTTTTTTTTTATGACTGTGCTCTTTTTTTCATTTGCCTAATCTATATTGTACCCTTCCCCTTTGAACTTCTGCCACATGTAAGAATTTCTTTCTGTTCTACTGACCTCACCTTATGATGTCTGGAAACCTAATGGGCAAAAAAATACTGATTTTTTTTTAAATGTCTGTCATGTATTTATCAAAGCAAATTATCTTATTAACTCTTGAATATTTTTACTCTAATTATTTTGGTTCTCTAACTATGCAATTTTGGATTTAATTGAAGTGCTTCTAGATTTTTTGATTATCTATATTTGCCTTTTTACATAGAGCATTTATTGGGGATAATCGTTGAATTTTATTAAAACCCTTTTCAGCATATACTTGCATATCATGCTGTCATTGAACAAATTCTGAACACAGAGCAAACACTCTCAAGAAATCACAAACTCTTAGTACTATACTGACTTCAACATCTCTTCTAGGACTTGGATTGTTTAAGTAACTTTACAATTATTTGCTATTTAAAGGTGAGATTAACCGGCCATGGCATTTCCAAGAGTAGATTATCTTCCCTGTCTCCCTGTAACAATCTACACAAGTTTACCATTTTTCGGCATAGAGATGAAGTTAATTTTTAAATCTGTATTAGTTTTCCTAGATTTATAAATACTTGCTTAGAGCACTGCAGGAGGTATTCTCTTACAATTCACCTATATCTTTTGTAAGTTCACCTTTCTCAATTCTAAGCTTAAATTTTCCTCTGATCGTCACTTTTGGTGCCTTTAGAGTTGTGCCTTTATGTGGGTATGAGGTCATATTTTACCTTCATAAATGTGACTGTTGGTCTGATATTAATATTGCTGCTTTTGCTTTATGTGAATTTTTTTGTGCATAAAAGGCTGTTTAAAAGTAAGTGGGGGGAAATAATTTTAACTACAATTTGGAATAAGTAAACCAAGATGGTCAGAGCCACTCTGTGTGTAATAATGGAAAGTGATAAAATTACAGCACATCCATATTAGGGAAGCTAGTAAAGAGGCTTTTAAATATAGTTGGATGTAATAAGAAAAACCTATTAAAGCACAGACTAAATAAGTAGGCACCAAGTGGCAAGAAGTAGAGTACCTCTAACCTTCTAGATTTTTCTTTGGTTAGCCTGCAAGGGATCATTTCTCATGAGCAAGCTTTCCAGCTCTAGTTACTTGTCCATTGTGAGATGCTGATGGGACAAGAGAACAGGTCAGGTTCTCAGACTCACCTCAGGATGAAAGCCGTGACAGGATTCCGGACGCCTTCTGATCTTCTGGGCCTTTAAACGTTCACACTTAAGAGATTCATTATGTTGACTGTAGTTAAGGCACATTTCTAAGATGGGACTTCTCCTTACTCCGCATTTCAAAGGTGAAGATTTGGCACTAAACTCCCTTACCAGCTCCTTTTTGTCCACAGCAGAGGGCCCTCCTTTCCTCTGCTAATATTCCTCCCCCAGATGTGCTGACTGTTGCCCTCTCCTCACTCCTGGCTTTAGCAGTGTGGCTGCATACAAAAGGATATACCTGATTTCTATGGGCGCCATGGTGATGGGCGCCACAGACTCACAGAGGCAGCTGCTGTCCACCACCACCATGAACAGGTTGCTGCTAGGGATTTGCTGGATGACAAAGGACCTGTTGGAACAAGAGGCACAGAGTCAACAGATGAGTCATTCCCCATTTCTCTAGTAAAAAGCCAGGAGGAAACCCTTTCGTCGGGGGTAACTACTTCATAGTTGGAAATAAAATTTCACAGATTGCTGTATTACTAAAACTGTTTCCTTCCACTAGTTTTTTTTTTCTTTTCTTCAAATACCAAGCTTCACTAAGATAATCCTCTATAATCTACAGTTCTGGCCACATGCAGTTCCGAAAACTCATCATGGGAGGATGAGTTTTATATGTCAAAAATCACTCCAGTGTCCTTGGAGAGACTAGAATGTTCCCAAATCTAATTTCCTTCTTCCAGAGCCTAAATATTATCAACATTTGCATGTGATGGTCATATAGAGAGATTTTTTTCTTTCCTCCTTCCTTCAAAGATAGGCTGGAACTATGTCCCATTGATGGCAAAAGATTTAAGTCCACTTTCTAGTTTCTTCCTTGTACCACTTTGCACAGTACCTGTCCAAAGTAGAAATGCAATGCCTTGAATAAAACTAATTCTAGTCAATTCAGAGTACCCCTATCTGCACACACAATGATGTGGTTCTCTTCTCAGGTGCAAGTTCTGCTGATACTAGAGCAGTAGAGCAGTTCTGGCAGTCAGGGCCCATCAGCCCAGTGAGTCCAACTAAAGAATGCTTAATGACACCTCTTCTCATGTTTCCTATAGAGTGAAATGATCATGTAATGCCACTGTGAAGAGACTCCATGAAAAAACAAACGCTGCTCACTCTTTGGGTGAACACAGTCGAGCCCCAAACCCCATATCCTTCCATATGGGTAGGAAAGATAAATACTTATCACCCAGTCATAGAGCCCCTTCACATAACTTTTCATGATATTTAACTAAATTCTGTTTCATCAGAGAATATCCTAAAACTGAATAAAATAGTTCATTTCTCCATAAATTTTTGTCTTCATCTCTCTCTCATTCACTGCATTCTATTCTCTAGAGTATATTACCATGGTTTACAAAAATCACATAGTGAAGACTTTTGCTTTATGGGAAATGATAAGAGGAGGAAAGGATGCCCCTTTTTCACCCTTTTACCATTGCATGGGCAATATGATGCAAGAATGCCTCGGGAACTGCAACACAATTGATTTGCTTTCCTCAAGCTCTCAATTCCCAGTCCACTAACATACTACAATCATGTTCATTCTTTTCATCCATAGCAATAAACAATGTGCATATTTGCTCCAAGATGTTCCCTCAGGTCTAATCTACTTTCACATCTGAGGTGCCTACCCTCCATCCTCCCCACCCTCTCTACCACTAGCTTGGAAAAAGCTCCACTTTTCTGTCTCACTAAAACTTAACAGACCTGCTTTGTAGTAGACATAAAATTATCTCCCCCTTGTAGCTCTAGGTCCTTTCTCATCTAAGCAAGGACATTGCTTTAGCATGTGATCTATTTGCAATGGATTATACCTATTAGCATAAAAAATATCCCACCTGTGATAGCACTCATTAGACAACCAAAATATGCAAAACCAAACAATGCAAAAACAAGATGACACAATTCTTTGAAAAATAAGTAGAAGATTAAGTCAAATGAATTTTCCAGACGAATAATAAGAGACTGGAGTGTGAAAGAAGTTTAAGAGGGAGAGAATATATACAGATTGAACAAATACCCTATTTTTTTTTTCATTAAAAGGGCCAACTCAAGCATGAGTGAGATTTCAGATTATCAAAGATAAACCTTAAAAGTTCTTCTAGAAATGAAGAACATGATAATGACATGGATGTTTCAATTAAGGTGAGCAAAACAAAAATATATTTAAAACTTTGATGAAATGGAAAAGTAAAATGTATGTCAGAGTAGATAAATGTTTATCCCCAGATGCAGAACCCCATCACATAAATTTTCATGGTAGTTAACTAAATTCTATTTAATCAGATGAAATATATCCTATAGCCTAACAAAATGGTACATTTTCCCCATAAGTTTTATTGTTATTCTCTCATCCACTGAAATTTCTTTTTAAATTTAAAGACAATTGCTAAAAAAAAAAATCCTGTAAAAATGAAAACCTGATCAATCTAAGATAGCACATAAGCAAAACACACAGATATGCACTAGGACTGCCAGTACAAAGTCTAAAATGATTGCCAAACACAACAAATGTAAGATGGTTAGAGTCACATACTAAAAGCACAGACTAACTTGAGTTTACAAGAACTAGTATTGTGTTTGCAACAGATGGCCCTAAAACAGAGTGACTTGGGAGGAAGAAAAGACGTACCAGAAAGATGCTAACAATGAAGAGAGGAACAGGTTTGGAAATATTATACAAGTACTCAAGTGAAAAAAAAAGATAACATAGAATTCATACTGATAACCTGAATAATCCTTTATACCAAAAATAGTATAAGAGTCTAACAAAGTAGAACATGAACTTTTATAATCATAGAGTAAAAATCGATAGAAATAGCACGTGACTAATGAATGCACACCCTGTTAAATACAGTGAAGTCTTCGTATCTAACCAATATGAAATTTAGTGAATTTCAAACACAGCAATCTGTAACACATTCCAAAGAGCAGAAATCATCAATTACGTATTCTCCTTTTATGGTAGGGCACAGTTAGAAATTAATAGCAAAAAAGATATAAACAGAGGAAATTAAAGGTTAAAAAATTTCATTAATCCTTGGGACCAGCTCAGACTTAAATCTGTGCGGTATGACCTTAAATACTTTTACTGGGGAGGAAAAAACTCACAAATACATGAACTTAAGTTTTCAAATTGAAAAGCTGGCAAAACAAGAGCCAAAGCCTTCAGCCACAGCTCTGCACTTGGTCTTCTCTCTGGAACAATGGACAAGCCACTGATGCCTCTCTCTAAAGGATCAGGCTCAGGCTCCGACAAGGATGTGACTGATGGAATAGCAGGTGGCCATCCCCCAGTTTCCCTACCAGCCTACTAACAATTCCCTGCAGTTATAAATATTGCTGGAATGTAGCTCCATGCTGCCTTGTTTCTTTGTCTTCCTCATAGCACAACTCCTATAAAGAGGTACCCACAATCTCTCTCCCTGCCTGCCACCGGCTCATCTCTTTTGTCTCTGTCTTTGTTTCTGCTTGTCTCTCCTCTTCCTTCACATCACTCCATTTTATTCACAAACCTATTCCAAGCAGGTAGTTGTCCATAACCCTCCAGTGAATGAGTTCTCATCAAGGCCACAGGATCCCATCACTTTCTTTAGCTCATGTGCCTTCTGGTTCCTCATTCCCTCACTCGCTCACTGTGTGCCTTTCACAAGGGACTGAAGTTCCCATGGTGAAGGGCTGTGTCTCTCTGCCCACTGTTATCTGTTATTCCAACACCTAGAGCAGCTCCTGGGATGCAGTGACTTTTAAAAGTTCATTGAATCAATGACACAAGAATGAAATGCAAGTTAAAGTGGAAGACCACTGAAAGAACTAAACTCTGGTTCAAAAGAACACTGACAGGAATCAAATCTTGGCACTCCTGTGCAAGAAAGAAGGCAAAAAATGACTTTAAGCCCAAAAATACAGAGACATTTCGAACATTTAAGTGACTAATAACA